CAATCCCCATTTGACCCCCCCCCCTCCTACCCTCACCCACGTACCTCGCTTCGGGACCCATGGCTCGCGCGAACAGGTCCGAGAGTGTCTCCGCCTCAATGCGCGCGTCAGCCGGGTAGCCATCGTGGACGCCGAAAAGGCTGCTGCCGCCGCCGCTATTCCCGCCAACAAGACGAGCGGAGGACCAGCAGCGGTGTCGAAGGGCGAACATGTCCAGGTGGTTGTTCATAAGCAGGTGGTGGGGGGAGGGTCCGGGGACGGCGCGGAGGAGGAAGAAGAGGAGTTGGTGCGGGCGGAGGCGGTGATCGTGGCGGTGCCGCTGTCGGTGTTGCAGGAGGGGACGGTGGAGTTCGATCCCCCTCTATCTGAGGTGTGTGTGTGTGTTTCTTGTCCCCGGTATTTTGTTTGTTGGTGCTTGTGGCCGACGTCGCTGTTGTGCTATAGTCGTTTCTCTCTGGGATGTTTCTTGTTGCTCGTGTTTTGTTTTTGTTGTTCTTGATGCTTGCGGCAGACGTTGCTGTTGCTGCCACATTGCTGTTGCCGTTTTTCGCGATGGTGGTTCTTGTCGCTGGTATTCTTGTCTGTTGTTGTTGCTGCCTGTGGCCGGCGTCGATGCTGCTGCTGTTGCTGTAATCGTTTCTCACCTGGGTGCCGTGCTACGCATCTGCTGTTGGTGTTGTAACTCTCTGAAAACGCAGTCTCGTATTTGCTGTAGCCTGACAAACCAGGTGTGTTGAGCTCGCTCAACATTGCTCGTGGTGCATGTGCAGAATCAACGCCCGAATGGAAGGAAAATTGCATGCCTTACCTGAAGACACAAACTACAACATGACACCCATCAACAGTATCGATCTACATCAGTTGTGCGCGCATCACTCCCGCTGTTCCAAGAACCCCAGCACGCTCTGGACAACATAGTACATAGATGGATCGTGTCACATTGCCGTTGTGGAATCGCCGACTTGCAACTGCTGCTGCTGCTGCTGCTGCTGCTGCTGTTGCTGTTGCTGTTGCTGCTGTTGCTGTGCGCGTTCAAACGACGCCACGCCCAGGAGACCAGCTCGGCCTTGTCCAGGCTCAGCATGGGGAACTACGAGAAGATCATGATGGAGTTCGCGGAGCCCTTCTGGCCCGCCGACACCCCGTTCATCGGATGCTGCTGCGGCTACCCCCGACCGCCTCCCTCGCCCCCGTCCCTCCACACAGCGCCGCCGGCCGCACCGGTGCCAACCGCACCGGTGTCAGCAACCGCTGACGGAGGGTCGTATTCCCCCGCTCCACCCGCTCCGAGACCAAGGACGACGGTGTCGGGATCGGCGCGGATGACCGCCGACGGCGGCGGGGTCGCACCGCCATCATCGTCGGGTGCCACGAACCCGGCGTCTCTTGTTGCCGCGGAGAACGGCCATACCCCGGCGTTGGCAGCTGCTGCTGCTGGAGCAGCAGCTACGGCGGCGGCGGAATCGGCGGAATCGGCGGTTGTCGGTGCCCCGCCGCTCTCCGTTAGCCCTGTTTTTTTGGAGAACCACTTGTGGTCGAAAGGGGTGCCGGTGCTGACCGCCGCGGTTACCGGCGAGCGGGCTCGGATGGTGTCTGCCGCTGCCCGCACGATGGCGCGGGGAGAGGGGGCGGGGAACAGCGGAGCGGCGGAGGAGGGTTGGAGGGCCTCGCACGCTAGAGAGATGTACCGCAGGTTGATCAAGCCCGCGCTCGTCGAGGGCTTGGGGGGGACGGGAGAGGACCTTCCGGAGCCGGTGTCGGTGTTCGTGACGAGGTGAGAGAGAGAGTAGACGAGGTTAGAGGTCAGGTTCTGCTGCTGCTGCTGCTTCTGCTGGCCGCCTTCCATCTCTCCCCCCGTCATGGCTGTGCGGTCCTTGTGCGAAGTAAACTAGCCCCCATGCGGGCTCGTCTATCCCTTGCGATCTCTCAATGTTTGTGGTAGATGCTAGTGTTTATCTCTCTCGGCCCTTGAAACCAGCTCAATGTGGTAGATGCGTCGTCACCCAAAACGTGCCGAGTGTACGTGCAGTCCCCACGTAGCTTTTCATGAGTGTTTGGTCACAAAAACATCCTGCTTGCTCGAGACGAGACAATACATGGGTACCTCGGAACGCGCTCGGCTCCGAAATGTTCGGGTTGCAACACGGGAAATCCACCCATCCATCCACCTGTCCTTTCTCCACCCCTACACGCAATGGTGTCTGGTGTGAACGAAAAATAGAACACCGCCCGATCACTATCCCACGCCTTTCCCTAATGAACAACCAGCTGGGGGCAAGAGCCCTTCCAGCGAGGCTCCTACAGCTTTTTCCCGCTGGGGGCTCGAGACGACGACATTCACACGGCAGGGCGGGGGGCGGCCTTCGGGCCGCCGAGGGGGGCCGCGGAGGGCGGCGCAGGGGGGGGCTCCGAGCGGGTTTTCTTCGCGGGGGAGGCCACGGTCCCAGGGCTAGAGGGAAGCATGCATGGGGCTTATCTGTCCGGGGTGCGTGCGGCAGAGGACGTCGCGTATGCCTTCGGCTTGCCCTTGTGACTTGGGGGCGACACAACGGTGCGGTGTGGCATGGTGGTACTGTCGATGTTGATGGTGGTAAGGTGGTGTCTAGGGACGTCGCGTACGCTTGCAGGTGGCTCCTGTGACTTGGGGGAAACGACGAGCGCGTGGTAGGTGGTTTTGTCGATGTTGATGGCGGTAAGGTGGTTTCTGGGGGCGTCGCATGTGCTTTCGGCTTGCCCCTGTGAATACTGGGAGACGACGAATGCGTCGTCGTGGTTTCGTCGTTAGGAGTTGATGAGGGTCGCGGTGATGATGGTGGCGGTGATTGCGGTGTCGTTTGAGGGGGGGGGAAGGTCTTCATGGTGTGCCTACTTGTTTTGGGTGTGGCTCTGTCTTCCAGGTGGTGTAGCGTTGGGCGGTGGTGGTTGCTGTTGTTGCCGGTGGTGGGGGCGATGTCGGTGTAGGTGTGGGTTTTCCGCGCCTAGATGTTTGGACGAATGTCGCCACTCATGTCAAGAAGAGACAGAAAAAAGCTGGTTGTTTCGTCGACAAGATAAAAGGGTAGACTTTCGGCATGCGATCCTACGACAGCGGCCCCTCTTGAAGGACAGACGGGGCGCTTGGCAGGATAATCCCTGGAAGTGTATCCTGCGTCGTGTTAGTTCGGGATTGACTGCTTGAACTTGAGCTTGCAGGCAATGTACGGTCCTATTCCACGTTGGCAGGCATGCGGGAACGCTCCCCGTTGTGCAGATAAGAAGTGGTTTGTTTTGCGTGAGGATGGGTTCAGCTGCCGGCAAGAGTCTGGGCCCGTGGTGGGCGGCCTATGTTTCTTAAACAACATTCAGTCTCGCGGGTGAGTTGTTGTTGCTTTCGCGTGCACGCTGGAACTTTCTTTTGTGGTGCATGGCAGCCTAAACAACGTGAAGCTACGGCTACCCGTCATACAGGAATATGAGCACATTAAGGAGTTGGAGATGTTCATAAACTCATAACAAAAGTAGGGCAATGATGTGCGTTTGGCAGTATTTGTTGGGGGAGAAGATTGAGAGTGGTGGTATGATACAATGACGCCAGCAAACGTTGGGGATGGTGGTCGTCGTGGTGCCCTTCATCCAGCAGCCTCGCTTCATATGTGGATAGCAACAGAGTAGGTCCTGGTGAGCTTTTTCAATCTTGTAGAGCCAGCCTCGCTATCATGTTCAACACGACAGCTCTTCGGTGAGCTACTACTAAGCTCTCTTGCCGTAGACGTTGTTTCCCCCGCCGATCGGGTGATGACCACAACGTGCGTCGCACAACAAACCAAAACCAAAGCAAGAAAGAGCAGTTGCGTGTGCGGGCCTAGTCTAGAATAATCGATGGCACAACATGTACGGCGGTTGGGACAGTGTGATGGGGCGAAATATACTTTCAGTTCGAAAAGTGACCCGATCGTGTATGAAACGTAAACAAGCGTGGAAAGCAGGCCGGGGGAGGGAGGAGGCCAGTGCGGGTGGTAAGAGCATAGTGGAACAAGGTGTTCAGATCGAACTGCCCAGGTGCGGGGGGTTCGGCAGATGGTGGTTTCGTTTGGGGGGGCGGCAGGGGATATTGGAGACGTTTTTCTGCCCTCTTCCGACCAAATGCTCTGGCCCACCACTGTTGTCCAGGTACCTCGTACAAGCTCAGTCGCGAAACGAATATGCTGTTTCACACGCCTATGTAATCCGATTGATTGTTGACCTGATGGCGGTGATGAGGATGCACCCCCCTCCCGGACTACGTGTGTTTTTTGGTTGCGTTCGCGGACTGGCGTGCGGGTTGGTTGTGCCCTGACGCACCTGTCAGAAGCGCAGATCGAGTGTGAATGTTTGTACATGCTGATTTTTTTGGATGGAGGACCGTGCGCCGGCGCGTCTACTTAGTCTGGTGAATGATATTCCTACAGCGGCACCCCTACAAGCATTGTTGCGCGACCGGCATGGATATATGGGGCCCCGGCGTTTCGGGGGGGGGGGGGGTACTCATAGTCGTGCATGCCGTAGTCGGTAGACCGTTGACCTCGCATCCATACAAAGCCGGGACGGAGCACGCCAGGTTCTCACCGGACCAGGCTCTCACATCACCAAGCGCGAAGCGCCGTGAGATATTCGGCGAGTCGCATGAAGGGTGCGCTGCATCCTGCTAAGGGTGTTCGGCATCTTGTGCTTACTTCCTTGCGTACGGATGACAGCTGCGTATGAATTAATTTATTTTCTGGTGCTTTCACTTCCAGAGACAGTTGTAAGCACTGTGTAACTGCCTCGAGGGTGCTTGACCATTTTAACACAACGTGGTGCGATCATCCCCCTTGCGCGGAGTGAGGGTTCACCCCGCACAACATGATCTACTCAACCATCATTATGGTTACTGCCCAAAAAAAATAAACGGAGGAAAAAAAAAAAAACGGTAACCTGGTTGCCGAGTTCACGAAGTGAATTGGCTTGTTTTACAACGTCGTTGCCAAGCGACGAAAACCCAATCCCGATAGGCAAACACCGGAGGGGGGGGGGTGTACTCATAGTCGTGCATGCCGTAGTCGGTAGACCGTTGACCTCGCATCCATACAAAGCCGGGACGGAGCACGCCAGGTTCTCACCGGACCAGGCTCTCACATCACCAAGCGCGAAGCGCCGTGAGATATTCGGCGAGTCGCATGAAGGGTGCGCTGCATCCTGCTAAGGGTGTTCGGCATCTTGTGCTTACCTCCTTGCGTACGGATGACAGCTGCGTATGACTTAACTCATTTTCTGGTGCTTTCACTTCCTGAGACAGTTGTAAGCACTGTGTAACTGCCTCGAGGGTGCTTGTGGGGGGGGGTTGTAATGTTGAATGTCTTCGATTGTATGTAGCCCGTGCGTTGGGACAGAAAGCGCGTCAGAGGAAGGGAGGAGGGTCAGAGAGCACGGCTACGAACGAACGAGGTGTTTCGAAGGCTGCGGCAGAGGCGTTTTCGAAGGCAACGGGAGTAGGAACCCCTGGCGAACAGGCCTTGAGATCCTCGAGAGGTCCTCGAGGTCCTGTTGCGGAGCAGACCTACACCGTCATCATCGTGTTTTCGAGATAAGCGCACTTTAAATGCCGGTTTTAATGGTGTCAGAGCCAAGTGCCAGTTATTTTTTGCTTTTGTTTGGCCCTTTTGTCCAACCTGGGCTACCCCCGTAGTAGCGTAGGGGTCGACTGGTACAAAACGATGGCCCATTGTGGGTAGAGATGGGACGGCCAGGGGGAGGTCCCTCGCATCGCGACTAATAATGAACGTTTGGGAGTGTACTTACGTTGATCATGAGTGCCGCCAACAGAATAGAGCAGACGAACGTGCACCGTGGTTTGTTTGGTTCCTCTATTTTCGGGAGCCTTTTCTCGCCCCGTATACTCCCGGGAGGGGATAGGGGACAAGACTGAATGGCGTCCCTCTTTGAAAAGGCGGGGAGTGAGTCCGAGCTATGACGTGTCGTTTGTGCAAAATTTTTTTTTTGTTCTGGGAAAAGACGGGGGGGCAGGTGTATGTGTGAATGCATCCTCATTGCAGTGTTCTGATTGGTCAACAACAATATGTGATCCAGTTCATTCATAGCCTTTTAATTCCGTAGGAAACCGCTCTTTGCGAGATGCTATTCGTAGGTAATGGTACTGTAGAAGTTGGGGTGTGCGGCAGGTCACTTGTTGAGGTTGCCGCTGAGATCATTCGATCGAAACGATCACTATCTATCATGGAAAACGTTGGGTGTGTGAGTGTATGTCGGTATGCGCCTTGCACAGTGCGTACTTTGTTCTGACGGGCGAGTTGCCGGTCCCCTGTGTGGGTCATGTTGTTGCGGGTCAAACCGCATTTTGGCCTATAATGAGGTACATGTGAACTACTATGTAGGTAACGACGTCGCAGGAAACAGGTTTCGAAGTACTTAATGTAGGAGTTTAATTCCCTTGCGTTCGATCTTGAGAGAGGCAAGCACATGTTGCTGTGCGTCTGTGTCCGCCGGCATTTCGACGTGTTCGCAATTGTCCTGGTGGTGGAGATGGATGGGGGGAACGAGTTGTCGCGGCGTGAGAAAACCAACGAGATCGTTGTTACAACAGCTTCGTCCGCTTCACTATTTGTAGACTATCAAGTGTGTCGAAAAAAATACCTACCCAGACGACGAGTCAGCACAGCCTTCGCGGGATTTTTCGTAGTATTATTATGGAAACATGATGGACAGAGCATACAATCGGGGAAGAAGTTGGGGTGAGGGTTAGGGAGTAGGGTCTGCGTTCCCCCTCCTTGTTCTCCTTCCTCATCAACTCTTCATGCCCGCGAAGAAGGCGTTCCCGACCACTGCTGTACGTCGTGTTGATGCAGTAGGTGCGGGGTTGTCCTTGCCCTTAAGAGAAGAAAAAAAAACATGAGCCGCTACCGCTTCGCTGTCGTCGTTCTTGCCTGAATGAGTGCGATGTCTCCGGTGGCACGCCGAGTTTGTTGACAAGTCTCTTCGAAGATTTCTTCTTTCCCGACGCCCGAGACATGAGATCAGCGCTTGAGCCCGCACAACGAAAAACCTTTTCTCAAGCTTGTTTGTCGCTGCATATCTACGCACACACTACACGTACTCGTTTGATTTGTCGTATCTATCCCCGTGAGGGCCAAACGCTCCGTCCGCTGCATCCGATCCTCGACATACACAAATCGACGAATGATATATGCACGCACCCGGAACAACATGAAGAAGAGGCGGAGAGGCCATGCACCTTTCTTTTGTCGGGTCAGATCTTCGGCGCCAAACACGTTGTTCTTGAATCGTGGGCGCCAGAGTTTTGAGTGTAAGCCTATTGGAGACCTGGCGGACGAATTCCCCATTTTGGGAAGAGCTTGTTTTCACCGAAAACTGTCCACCGAACGCTGCGAACATTCGGCCCAAAGAGTATGGGAAGAACGTGCGATCACGAAGGCACGCTCCATCCCCCCCCCCGCTGTCTTGAACCGATAAGAGGGACTCGGTCCGCGTAGCCTCGAGCACGCTGGGCACTCCGCGCCACGTATCATCAAGAGAGGGAACTAGCATCTGCTGGTGGGGACGGTCAAGCCCCACCCGACCCGTTCTCATCAAACTTATCGTGTGTACTGAAATGTACTATGATGATGATAGCACCACCACATGTCCATGCTACAGTATCCTGTCAGGCGGGCAAGGCTACGATCCCTAGGCCACGACCAGCAAACTGCGAAGGTCCACCTTCCCCTGGAAGAAGAGCGCTCCAAAATCGTTCCCCCGTCCTCCCAACACATGCTCAACACACACACACACCGATGGCTGAACAAGCCGGCACAATAGCCGACACCACCGCCAACAAAACAACAGACCATAAACCCTTTCCTGGGAGATTCATGTGGAGAACGCTAAAGTTATCGGCCTCTCTCAAACCATTAATCTCTCCCTGGAAGATGCATGTGGAGAACACTAGAGTTATCGACCTCTCTCCTCCCGTCTAGCCTAGCCCGCGATTTCTTGTCGAACAGGACGCCCTACCCTCCTCGGTGCCGACACACTCATCTAAACAATAATCTCCGAGGACGTGTAGCAGCAGCAGCAAGTCATACAAATGGCAATGAGATTCTTGCTGCCGCTGCCGTGGACAGACGTGATCTCTACTGCGGGAAAAAAAAAACTCTCGGCCGAGTCGCACGGCGAGAAGACTCGAACCCGCACCGCTCCTCACCAACGCCCTTGCGGAAGTCCCAAGAGAGAAAACGCTCCGAACGTACGACGACTGATATTTGCTGTCGCCGAACCCCGCCCGCGCCATATATATACCCCCATCCCCCCGTCACCAGGCCAGGCGTTTTTTCCCCGTCTCGCCAGTCGCCGCCCTCTGGTCAGCAACCCCGCACGGAAACGCCGCACTCGGAGAGAACGGGGTGTGTGAACAAAATCTGGCTCGACGCGGACGTGTGCCCTGTGGGCACATCACCGACGACAGTGTGACGCTTCGATTCGTCGGCAGGTCCGCCGGGTGGTGCTGGGCATGGGGGGGTACTACAAAATGTAAACGCGTGCCATAGTCATTAGACCATTGGCCTCGCATCCCTACAATGCCGGGACGGCGCGATATGCCATGGGGGGGGGGGAGCTGGGAGCGGCAGCTTTCCACACGTCTCGCGCATTGCAGCCCCCCCGAATATTTGCCGTCACCTGCGCACGTCCATTCCAACCAGTGTCCGAGCAACACTAACGGGGGGGGGAGCTCTGTCGAGGTACCCACGTTAGAAAGCAGGGACGCCGGGCCACCGCCTTCGAAATTTCGAAATTCAAGCCGTTTCACACGCCGTGCTAGCACATGCAGCGCCCCCCCCCTCCACCCCCTCCACCCACCAACCCACATCCGTGCGCACACCAGGGCGGGTGTCTACATAGCGTTGTCGGCGGTCACTCACGCTTCCGACGCTCTGGCCGCTTGCTGACGCCTGCACACTTTTGAAGTTGGAATACACTCCCTCGTCCCCCCTTCTCTCCTCTTTCATCGGCCTGCTTCACCCATCTCCTTGTTACTTACATCGTCCCGACGCTGCCGCACTTCGCCTACGGCCACTATTCCCTACACTAGCGTAGCTCCTTGAGTAGACCACAGCCAACCGCGGTCTAGAACGCAACCACACAATTTTCACGGTCTTGTTTTTTCTTTTTGACATCGCCGCACGAACTACCCCGGAAGTTTAAATAATACAAACGCCGGGGCCTCTTGGCGGCGCAAATACGAATCGATTCCCGCGGACATAGAGAGCGGCGAGCCCTAACAAAATTCGCCCCCCCCTATACACCCCCGTCCTCCACGCGGAGGCTGTGGACTGCTGTCGCCAGTCGCCTGACTACATGGTGTACAGTAGTTGTGGACACATGCTGCTACTTCAGCTTACGGTCCCCTGAGGGGGGACTCCGGCATGGTGTGGCAAGCTCTCTGGGGCTTTTTCGGCTGCTTGTTCGAGCTGAGGCACTCGGTCCAGCAGGGCTGGAAAGGGGTTTAGTCCGGCGAAGGAGATGGGCGGGGGGGAGACAGGGGGCAGAGAAGAGTGAGCAAGCTGAGATTTCAGGACACAAGCAAAAATTCGCCACACACGGTTTCCGCGGAAGCAAGCGTGCTCGATTAAGACTTCTTCCTGTCTCTCTCCTCGCTGTTCCCGACTTGAGCATCTCCGGTTCTCTCTCTAACACACACACGTTAGTCTCCCATTTTCTCTCCGTCCCTCCTCTCTCTCTCTTTCACGTTCGTCAATGTTTTTTTTATCCGTCTCTCCCTCTCTCCAACTTTTTCTCTCTCACGCACCTTAGCCTTTCGTTGTTCTATCCGTCCCTCCTCTCTCTCACACACACACTTTCTCTCTCTCGCGCTAGTCTTCATTTTTCTATCCATCTCTCCCTCTCTCTCCAACTCTCTCTCTCTCTCTCATGAGGTCTCCCGGACCCACCCACCCAGCCCC